AATAGATATTGAGCCGTTTGCCTCTACATTCCGTTGGCAAGATTCCTGGCAAGATTTTCCTCATGCAAGTCGGTTAACAAGCCTCTCACACATTTACCAGTATATGTGTGAGAGGCTTGTTAACCGACTTGCATGAGGAAAATCTTGCCAGTGTATGTGCAGGCACCCTGCAGTGTGGCAGGGCATTTATGGCATTTGACTGTTGTTGCCAATGCAGTCGCACAACAGCGGAATAGTGTGGTGAAACAGTATTTCATTGCACTATTCTCGTAGTTCAGAAATACTAATTTTCCGATTTGCTCTTCCCAAACACAAAATCCTTTTTGCGAAAGGCAGCGTCTCAGTGCAATTTCAATTGGTGATCGATTGATCATGGTCGGAATGTGGGGGATATGGTGGTACGTTTATGTTTCAAGCAAACGAATAGGTCTGCCCGGTGTGCTGCCAAAGCGGATGTGGCTGCATCGCTGCATTTACACCTGCATCTGCAAAGAGTACAATTGTCGTAAAGAGCACGTCAGCCATTGCGGCCACCCACCACAACATACACAAACGCAGCACCTGGGAGCGCAATACCAGTGTCGTGATCGCAGTCGCCTTTACATGATGAATCCTGTCTTCGGAATCCAGCTCATGAGCTGTTTAATCAGATCACATTCCACCGCTGCAATGTGCATTTTCTCTCTATCTACCATCACAACTCTGCTATTTAGTTAGCGTCCGTCTCTGATCAGAAGTGCGTGCCGAGACACAGGAAGCGGACACGTCCACGGTTATAACAACACGGCATGCCTGTCATGCCGACACGAATATTTTAATCAGTCACCTCGGCAACAGACAAGTAACCTCATGGACGAGCGCAGCCGTTGCATTTCGCTCGTTAGCTCTTGCCTCCTTGTGCCACATGTGTGAGGCTGCTCGGCTTGCCTACAATGCCCCCATCATCAACGTTGATGGTGCACCTTGCTCCTTAAAATGCTAAACGAAGCATCTAGATCTGGATAGGTGAATCATGTGCGCTTGCAGTGTGTGAGCACCGCCCCCTTCAATATTGCGGTATCCAGAGTTCCGGAGTGTATGTATCGTTGGAGGCCATCCAAAACATCGCTGCCAGCGGGTAGTGCGTGATCATTTCAACATTGAATCATCTGCGACGTCGTTGAGGACTCAAGGAGTGTACACTAGCCAGCATACTGCATCCAGTACACGTTTCGATTTCACATTGTTCTGAATGTTCACCTGACCGAAACACAGGGATGGGGAAGGCACATGCCACAATCAATACTTGCATATAATGAATCACGTGGGGGCACGTGGGACCTGAGCGCATGCATCCTACATATGTAGGCGCAACGTGCACAATCATGCAAACGCATATATCACACTTCTACCAGCATATTGCCAGAACGACAGACTACATTGTGTAAACTGCATAGACTGCCCTCAGCAATTGCCTGACGTGTTCTATTGTGAGATGTATATACATAACTCTTCAAGATCGTGCAGGCTTTGGCTTTGCACGATCAAGCTTCATCGTGAAAATTGCATGATCGATCCCTTGCGATCGCAAGATGTGTCCCAGGGTGCATCGGGGCCTCCCTTACCCCCTTCCTCCTGCTCAATATGCAAGATGCGTCCGGCAATCGCATTCCAGTGAGTAGCACACCAGCAGTTGTCTCTAGGTCCCAGTATGACTGTGAGGATAAGAAACCGCTCGATAATGACCATTCACACTTGAACTGGCGATCATTGGCCAACAACACATGAGAACATTCACATTGGCTAGTGTCAAAACATAAGCAGATTTCGTTATTCCTGCAGCTGTATCTGCATAGGCTACCGCTTCAAATATCCCAAAGCTAGATGTCCTGCAACGAATACGTGCATGTACTAACATATAGAACTGTCGTACTTGGAGTTCGTTCGCCCACGCCCGTGAACCTAACACAGCCCGTGTACTGCGGCACAACCGAATTCGCCTCAACGAAAGCGAATGGGGACGACGCTGTCGAGCACCGCCGCCACGTCCCCGCTCAGGGACGTCGCCGCGGTGTTGAACACCGACATCGCCGTGGTGTTCAACACCGATATTCAACGTTGACAGCGTATCGGATATCCCCCTTCCAGAAACATGATGTAGTTGAACAGGCGTCCCTTTCCCACAATCATGCGGGCATCACACGACACACGACCAGTACGGCGATGACTGGGAGACCAGTCACAACATTTCTTGTACGAGTCCTTCCAATCATCCGCCCGCAATTCGAGGCGGCGTTCCCACACGACGCCTCCAAAACATCGGAGACTTCCAACGCCCAGCGCCCCGTTGGGCCCCCCGGGGCCAGGCTAGGCGCTTTGACACCCGCGTGCAGCCGGCCAGCCACCACCGCGCGCGTCACCTCTGCCAATACCCCCTCATTGCAGTACAGCGCTTTGCCAAGGTACACAAGGCGCTGAACGCGACTGGCCTGGCGCGTGCGAGATCCGCACACGTACAACAGCCCCTCGGAACTTTATTGAACCGGACACGGGCCACCATAACTGAACCGGCCCAAAGAGCGCACCGCGTTCGTGGGAGGCGCCCCGCTGGTTTGTCGCCCGCTCGAGGTGCCGCGCCCGCTGGGCCCTCCGCCGATCGGACACCGCCCATGGGGCACTGAGGCCCCGAAGCGCCACCCTGCTCGCAATCCGCGCTTCCGCATCAACCGCAGCGTGGGCTGTTCCCATCACCGCTGCCATACGGGTCACCAACTCTGCACGGGACGGCCACGCGATGGCCGCCTCATCTTGGCTTGCGCTGAACCTGCTGGTGCGTGAATGTGGCAGATGGCGGCAAGTGACGGCCAGAGATCGGTCAGGGGCAGCTGTCTTTTGCGTTTCTGTGCGTGCTTGTGCGCCGTAAGGGACGCAAGGGGGTGGGAGGTATGATGTCGGCATTCGGCACGATGCCCGGCGCCCCGCTTGGCTTTCCCGGAGCCCTCTTTCAGGGCGGGCAGCCCGGGGTAGCCATGACCTCCGGCTTTTTCTCTGCCCTCTTCTGTTGGACGGGGGCTGCACTGGCTGTCGCAATTTGTCTTTGTCGTATTCTGATCGGGGCCAGTCACCCCCGCTGCGGAGTCGCCCGGCCGACAGTACATTTCCTCACGGCCACAAAGGGCGCGACAGCGCTGGGCCCCAGGAATGGGGCGCGGTCCTGGCTCGCCGTTGATCGCTCTTTGCTGGCCAAGACGTCCTTGCAGGCTTTGCGGGCGTCAGGGTGTGACTGGGCCGGTTGATTTCCTCCAAGAGTGGACAAGGGCACTAATGCCACGATCTGCACTTTCGCCGGCCCCGCGGGCCCCTTCCTTTTTGGTGTGCGCGGGCGCTCTTGTCTTGCCCGCGTGCGACATGCGCGTCAATGCTGTCACTGCACCGGAGTGCGCGTTGAAGGGCTCGCGGAGTATCGTGAACCCCCTTGAGTCGCGCCCGATCGCCGCGCTCTGCGCCCTCCCGGCCTCTTTCTCCGGGCAGCGCCATCTCTCCCCGCTTGCGTGCGCGTGGTGATCGTCTTCCCCGCGCCGAGATCAGAGTCTGGTGACATGTGATGGCCTCCACCGCCTCAGGTCACTTTCAAGTTGAACTTCCCTTCTGGGAATGGCTTTCGGGGCGTTCTTGCGCGCGTGCAGTTTGGCAGGGCGTGAGAACTCCGCAGAAAGCCAAAGGATGTGCCCCTGGCTCCGAGCGACGACGCGCACGATAGTAGGCTAGCGCTGCAGGCCCCGGATGGGTAACTCTTGCTCAGCCCGGCAGATGGGTGGCAGATTGCCCACCTTGCGGAATTGATCCCCAAAGAACTGGCTGCCACTCTGAAGTCAGTGTATGGGCAGTGCTCGAGCGGTCTGGGCCGCCCAGGAGCGGAAGTGCCGCCCCTGTGGTGCCCAAGCCGCCACAGCCGCGGGGCGCGGGGCGCGGGCGTCTCCGCGAACCCTGCGTCTAGCCGCTGACGAATAGGCGGCGTCGAGGTTCATTTGGTACGGCACGGAGAGTGCACGTGGGTATCGAGTCAGACTGTAAGACTTACCACAAATTGCCCCGCCTGGGGGGCAGAACAGGTGGCGTCAAGGTTGGGGCCAGGATTGTGGAGCAAACGAGGCGCAGCGAATCCCGGTCTAGAGGCCGACCGGGTACAGCCGCTGATGTGGTTGAGCGAGGGGGCGTGAACTGCGACGCTTGAGACGGCTTTGACCAATCAGAGCATCCGACACAGGGCAGCATGGGTCGACTTAAGCGCCTCTGGACTCGCTGCGAGAGCCTCGCGAGCCAGGGGGCCATGAGGGAATTTTTCCTTTCATCCTTTCCGATAATTCTGCTCTACATTACGATACAATAATAATCATGAATTATGCTAGGTAAATATATAGTAAGCATTATTATGTACCCTACATTTTAGTATGTGCTTGGTGTCGTCAAATTGGCAGCCAATTTCCTGAGTGGACCGATGAGTCTTGGAAGATTTGGCAAGCAGCAGCCAAACTTTGGGTGGCAATTAAAATGACTGTGCCCAACAATACAACGATACAGAAGAATAAAAAAACAATACAGAAGTAGTGTGTTGCAGTTCCTGCTTGCACGTTGTCCACTGCCTCTTAAGGGGTGCTTACAACAGCGGTTGAAGCAACTGCAGTGGCTCAGGTGTACATTCGAAACACCGTGTATTGGTGCATGGGCTGGATTCCTGTTGCACAATTGGTACTGCGGGTACAGCATGCAACTCTCACGAACAGCCATTCCGATCAAGACTCCTTTTCAACACAGTTTCAATGTGCATCCAAAAGATGGTGTTATATGTTTGAGGTTTCCCTTGTAGTGTCCAAGCTGGCAAAGAAGAAAGGCAGCAAGTGCCTGGTTGCAGTCATTGATGCTTTCTTCCCTGTTGCTGAGAGTAGTGCAACTGAAGTTTCTGCACAATGTTGTGTGCACATCTGCAGCTTTGGCAGCAGGATGGGATCTTTGGTGAGGAAATGGGCATGTGCCCAATGGCGCAGCTTCAATACGACCAGATACGGGTGCGCTTCTGGGCCCGATCTATGCACAGTCTTCTTTATGCAATCTTTTCAATTACAGAGCTGTGGGAATAGTGGGGTGTGTTGTGGAGCTCATGCCATTTTACAGCAGTGCAAGATGCAAACTGGACCAAGACAAAAGGGAGGGGACTTAATGGCAATGAAGTCTGTGTGTCACAGAGCAATATGTTCAATACTTAGAAACCAACAGAGGGATTCATTGTGTTTGGAACAGTTCTCAATCATTATTGCTCTTGTGGATGCCACACGTTGTGTCATTCAGAACTTCATGGAAACATCCTGTTTTTCTTGCAGCATTTTTGCCACACAATGGCAGTCCCTCTTGTGAATGCTCATCCATCCATCGATGCTGCAAAGACAGAATGCTGCATCACCATTTCCTTACCAGTATCAGGTGAGTGTGACATTCTTCAAGGAGCAGACGTCCGCCTGGGGCCATCTTTGCTTTCTGACCATATGGGCAGATGTGACTTGCCCTACCAGAAACAAGTTGTGTAGTGCTGCTGATTGGCCGATGTTGCAGAAAGTGGGTACATATTGCTTGGGGCGCCCCTGCAGTCCCAAGAACCCTTCACCTTGTGCTGTACCCTATTAAGCATACATCCATGTTTCTATTTTTGAGCCCACTTGCGTTTGTGCTTGATGCATGTGTTCCAGATGGGTCAGCGCCCTGTGCACCACAATGCAATATGACAAGTGGCTTGTTTGTGTAGCTCTGACTGGACCTGTGGTCTGTGGGATGGTGCTCATCATTGTCGCCATGGTGGTGTTGAGGAAGGCCCTCATAGAGGCCCTCATAGAGATGAGACACACGGATGGCTTCTGCACGTATGAAAGACACCAATACACAGACTGTGCATTGTGCACACCACTGGAACAACCCATCCTGCATTGTGGCAAGTCCAAGGCTTGTATGCCCCAGACCAATGAAGGAGAAGTTGAAGGAGGTGGCCATCTGGTGCAGCCTGCCCAAGAGTCAAAGGGAACGGCACGGGTATGTCCATCTTGTTTGCAAAGGTGTACTGTTGGTCCAAGTAGTGATGACATGTCAAACAGCAAGACTGTACCCAAAGCTCACCCCGCTGAAGTCTACACGATGAGCGCAGATCTCTGTTCTGATGGATGTATGGGCGGAAGGCAGGAGGAAGCAGTCCAGCCACCTTCAACAGAGCAGCCCATTCGGAAGTGCAAGGGCCCAAGGGCGGTTGCAAACATCCAAGTCTTCCCCGTGTCAAAGTCCATCCGGACAATAAAAGTGGGTGGGAATGGCTTTGTTACACCAGCAATAATAGTGAACGACAAGGGAGAAAGGCAGCGGGTTATGCTGAAGGAAGCCCCATCCGTTGGTGATGGCTCACTTGCGAAGCAGGAGGCACTGAACAACGAGATTCTCACATTCTTGGACATACCTGAACACCCACATGTTGTGAGGGTGCTTGGGTTCAGCATGGCCGGCAGTCGGACAGACTACCTGGTGACCGAGAGATTGCGGTGCAGCCTTCAGGATCTTCTGCATGGCGATGCATCAGGCACAATTGTGCCGAAGCCCCTGGAGTATGCGACAATCCTTGCAATAGCTGCTGGCATTGCCGAAGGGCTGGCGCACATTCATAGCCAGGGGATCTTCCATGGGGACCTCAAGCCTGGCAATGTACTGCTCGATGAGAATCTTCATCCGAAGATATGCGACTTTGGGTCCAGTGGCAGGTGCACACCTTGGTACAAAGGGAGGGCCCAGACGCCGTTTTACATGGCCCCTGAGTGTGAGGAAGATTGCTGTGATGATCGACCCATCAAAGCAGAGGTCTACAGTCTCGGTGTGGTCATGTGGGAGTGTGTACAAAAGGCCAAGCCAACGATCTCCTCCCAGTTGGATGGAGAGGAGCACAGATGTGGAGGGTGTGAAGGATGCACTCTGCGCAGTTTTGACTATTTCAACCCGTTTCCTTTCCATGAGAGCTGTCCAGTCCAGCTCAAGGATCTCATTCGTGGGTGCCTTAAGAAGGAGCCAGATCAGCGCCCAAGCCTGCAAGATGTCATATTGCAGCTGAAGGGCATGCTGGGCAAGGGTGCGTTGTGAAATGCACATTTCTCTGGAGGTTGGATACTAAGGGTTGAGGACTGTTGTGTGAACTGCGGACTCCGCTACCATCAACCACATAACGAGCACACCATAGTGCGGAGTTGAGAGATGGAGCTGCGTTGCAGTCCTGAAAGATTCACGTGTGCTGCAGAATGCACAACAGTGGACTCTGCAGCGCAGCAACACCTGGCTGTGATGGGCCTGAGAGAGGGCCCCACTGTGAAATGGCAATAAAGAGCACGCACAGGCACGTGCACAGTGTGTGGGAATGATAAGTATGAAGTTGCACATCCAGCACTTGGCACTGAGCGAAGTGCGACAGAGTTGGGGGGTGTCAGACTCTTGGACCTGGACGACGCAGGGCCTGCTTTTACTAGAGGGAAGGGAGACACCAGCCTATTTTTGCTGTCCAGTGATCTGAGGCAGTTGACATTAGGGCCCAAGGACCGTGCTTTCGGCCCACGGTGATTGGGTTGTCTCCCTGCTTGAGGACGAAGCTACTGTGGCATGTACCGAGCCGAATGCCCGAGGCCCAGGCACATTTTAGTTTGCGTGCATGAAGCACGCGTGTACTCTATCGGAGTTGAAATTGTTGCGAACACGTACTTTTGGCCCCATTGTGGGGAGACCTCGATCCATGAACTCAGCGAGGAAGCGAACAGCAATCTTCGCTTCGCTTTGGTGCAGACAGGATCAAGGAAGTGGAAATTTCATTTAGGTTCACTCTAAAGGATTTCTATTCCCGAAATGAACATAAAAGACGAGCTCGGACGCCGTCCACAACAGAAGATGTGGTCGAGTGCCGTATGTTGAGTGTTGTCGGCGCTGCGAACTAGTGAACACGTGTGGGATAGTGTCGCAAAGTTCATGGGGAGAATGTTTGTGTGCCCGCTCCTGATGCTTGCTGGTAGTTGCTGGCGGTGGGCGCAAGAGGGCGCATGACTGGCGGGCGATGCGCGAAATGACTGTGGGTCAACAAATATGTATAGGGTCTTAACATCAGTGGACGGCGGCCCCTTTTCCTACCAGTGCTGTTTGTGCCACCGTTTAAATGAATGATGTTGTAAAGAATTTTGTGCCCTGTAATGGCGAAAGCCGAAGTAATAGACATGGGGGGTAAACTGAACGGGGACGGCGAATTCGACGATCGTTGAATTTTCCGTCATGTGATTTTTTGTCGACTATTATGCACAAACCGACAATACGGAAAATTAACAGATGTACGAGTGAAATGCCATCACCCTCACGATGCGTATATCTTGTGATTGTCTTGCATTGTTGCCTAGTGCTCGCCTTTGGCAGTGGAATGGATAAATCGGCATGGCATTCGGTGCTGGGTTGAGCGTGGATGATGTGACGGTTTGGTGGACATGACCTGGGGCGCGCTCGATTGACATGCTTGACGAAATGAGAGGCGAGGTACTGGAGATTCTAATCATGAATACACTTCCATATTGTCAATAGTTTTGAGGGTGCAGCAAATTGTACCTGCGCTGTTGAATATCCCCGACAAAGTGGAACCAGCGCACCTCGTCTATGAGATGTTGATCATGTGGCAAGGTCTCCTGCGTGGGGTGGTCAGTGTATGCCAACATGCTGTCACAGAATCGGAAGTGTCCAAGTACCCAGGGAAACGCCACGGCGTTTCTGCATTGCGCATGGGAAGCTTCCAACAGTCGTGGACAGCGGCATCGACTGCCTAAAACGCCGACCGTTTGAATTTGCGGTGGTCCCAAATCGTCACAAATCAGTGTGGCTGTACAAAACTGACAACAAGGTCACCTGCCATGGGTCCACGCCTCGAAGCAGGTATACAATTGCATGCTTACAGCAACAGGCAAGATGCAAGATGTTTGTCTCCTTTTGGCAGACGCTTGCGGCCAGAGTGTCAACCAAAAACAGTTGTCAGTTTTGCCCAGCCTCTGCTTCCCTGTGACCCGAGTCCCCCATGTACCTGAGCCTAAAACCGTCGAGGGTTGTGCCGGCGCTGTGTTGAGACTGCACTGCGTGCAGACGGGCACCGGTGGGGCTAGAGACAGGGGGCGCGTTGCAAGACTGGTTTGGCTGACAAGCGAGAGCGTGACAGGCGCGGATTGGAAAGGACCCTTACGTTGGGCTGGAGTATCACTTCCGGAGTCTCGCTTCTGCATGTTAGCTGTTGCTTAGCCACAGCATGTTTGCCTGGCGCATCCCTTGACCTGGGCGGTACTGCTGCCCAGGTCGGTGGACATTACAATCCGCATTCGCTAACGTCTTGAAGACGTTGAAACATCACGCTGCGGGTTCTTGATGCGATGAACTGATCTTGTGCATCCATCGTGAGGTCCGGAAGAGACACTCATTCAGCGTCGCTGAGCGACATGTGTGGCGATTTTCTAAGTATCCTGCCGGAACCACATGCTCTGTCAATAAGGGTAACTCATTGACCTGATTATGGAGGTCTATAAGCGCTGGAGTGTTTGATATTTGATTGTGCCGATTTTGTGCCGGAGGTGGATTTCTGCATACTTAGGAGGACGAAGTATGGTGGGTGCCGCACCCGTACGAGTTCTAGTACTTTAAGGTGGCCGACTACTGCGGGTGCCACACATGTGCTGTAGCACGGCTTGGGGATTCAGCGGCTGGTGCCATGGCTAGAATGATGGGTGTGGCAGCATTCTGAGAGGTGTGACTCTAAGGGATGAAGGCGGAACAAACGGTTCGGTTGGGTAACTCGGGTCAGTACTTTAGTGGGCGATATCCATATTTTGGGGCTCAGGTAACACACCCGGCGGCTTAGGAAGGGTCCGTAACCCAGGGTATCACGAGATAGTACATAGACCAGGATATTCTGTATGTTAAGGCACGGGTGGCACACCCAAGGGCGAGGTGCAGGGGTACTGTGTATGGATTTGGTGCGACCTTTCATAGGTGCACGGTACCGGTGCCGCACCAAGCAGCGTGTATTACTTATGGACGAGCAACCTTGCTTGTAACGAACAACGCGAACCTTGGGCCCACCTCGCTGTTCTTTGTGTGTCTTTCGGGGATTGTACCCCGCTGAACTGTGAACATGCCGTGCTGACCGACGCCCATTGCGGGTGCACTTCGCCGTCGAGTTCAGCTCGGCCGGGCGAGCGTCTATTTTCGTGCGTGACGGATTCATTGCCGGAAGATTCGCCATTTGGACGCCATTTCTGCGGTGGTTCGAGGCTCGACGCCACAACATGCGCAAGTGGAATGTTGTCGCGTGTCTCTTCTTGTTTGCAATCTGTTGTCGATAATCCGCACCAGCCGTTGGTGCACGTCAGTTTGCGACTCAGCTGCACGCTGCCTGCTCGAGAGAAGGAATTGGGAGCGCGAGGACATCATGACAGTGGTGATTGATGGTGTCGTGGTGATCATCTCGCGTATTGTCGTGGAGGATACTGTCATGCAACCAATGTGCTCAGGAGTTGTCATTCAACATGGTTGGAAAACAAACGCACACATCTATGGGCGTTGGCATTCGCGTATGCAGTCAAGAACCTACAATTGGCCATCACTGTTTTTACAATACATGTACTGTACAGATACATATTGTGCAGTCGTCTAAACCTGCCGGCCCATGACGCGCTTCGCCCACTGGGCGAGACATTCTGGTCAAACAGAACGGTCTAATGCCATCAACGGGGCAAGGAGGACCGTGGCCATTGACGTCTACAGTCAATCCAGTCTCTCTTGGAGAAATGAGGCAAGATGCTGGTGCATTGCCGCCCGCCCTTGGTCCAGGCCCGCTGTCTTCACACTCTGCACGAGTCGCTGTGCTTCAGAGAACTGTTTGCTTGCAGCCTCAGTGTTACCCAGTGCCTGTGCAAGGACGAGCACACTTCCCATTGAGTGCAAGTTCCTGGAAACAGAGTGTTCCCGGGTGGCCGATGAGCCAATGTCTAGTAGTGGAAACGACTATACGTGCCACCAGCATCATGGCACTCTGTGTTACATCTCGGTTCCATTGCGTTTTTCCGTCAAAAGGATGTTGCTGCGGTATGCATCTGCGATGCCTCAAGCCCATTGCCAACACGTGGCACTTGGTTGTGGTGATGGCATCTGTCACACATCCACACCATCGCAAACACTAACGACCTGCACTGGCCTATTGCAATGGTCGCTGTGATGGCATGCACCGAGCATTTCCTTAACAGCGCTTGACATTTTGAGGTGAACATCAGTGTGATAGCACCTGTGATTTTTCCACATCCATTACCAAGGTTATGCGTGCCATCACCTGAAGTGGCATTGGTGAATGACAACCACAGCAACCAGTGCTGATGGATGCTGTGATTGCATTCGCGATGGTCAGGATACGAAGTCACACTTGGGTATTTTATCGTATCCACAATGCGTTCCACCAACACTTGTTGGCCAAAACTTGATGGTCTTGTCTGAGTCAGTGCTTCCCAGAATCTTATTGGACACTCAGTCCAAATAGCATGTTTTCGGCCCCAGCTTCTAGAATCGAGATCTAAGGGGAAGAACTGGCTACAGCGCCTGCTTCAAAGACGAGGCTATGCGAGGCATTTGCAGTTGCCATCAAGTTCTGTTCAATAGTGTTGCCAATCATAAGAAACACATTATGTGACGCCAACTGCGATGATGAGATGGCATCTGCAACACTGATGGAAGGCGTTGCAATTGGGGCTGTTGCTCATAGTGACAGTGGCACTATTTGGCAGCAAAATAGTCAATCTTCAAAAATTCCTACTGTGCTGTCATCCACAGCTGCAATCATTACCTGATCGGCATCAGCAACCTTTGTCAGAGAGACGGCGATTTCCAGCACCTTGATCACAAACACAAAGCAGCTGGTTAGCAGCTGCGGCCATGAGAAGAAGTTGGGAAACAACACACTGAAGGAGCTGAGTGTCCACCACAAGCAAACCTTTCGACATATGCATCACCTGTTCATCGCTGTGTGACTTCTGCTGTTGCTTCCGCCTTACATCCAAAGCTTCCGCATACTTCTCTCTGGCTGCTTGGACATCATTCCCATAGAAATGCAAGTCTCCCAGCTTGTTCAGAGACACAGCGAGCTCACGAGTGGCCTGCAAAGGTGCAAACAATGCTGATACAACAGCTGGGACATTGTGCCTCCTGGATAATTCTCAGGCTGCCCACCAAAGTATATGGAAGATAACAACTGTTGTGATGCGATCAAGAGTATGGTGTTCAGATCCCTGCACCAAATGAAAGCTCGCTACCATGAAAACTACTACAGGTTGGCACACAGACCCAAGCACAAAGCAAAGGGTGTGCTGCAGAATGGATGCCTACCGTTTTTGGCACAATGCCAACTGCAGTTGAAACAGCCATCCATATATATACCGCAGCCAAACCAACACATTCACGTGTTTATGCACTCAGGTGGCCAACACCCAGACTGTAGCAGACCTCATCGTTGCCCTCTGCCTGCTTCAGGTGGTTGACACTGTCAAGGTAGTGGTGCGCTGCTGCCTCTGAGTCACCGCACCTTCTGCTGCAATCACCCAGCACACCGCACACAGCCCCCAACTGGCACCACAGGGCCACGTCAACTGAGCTTTCTTGCGATCCCTTCTGCATCAGTTTGTGAAGCTCAGCTTTGCATCGCAACAGCCTGTGGCAACCACAATCATGATTTTGAGGAAAGAGTAAAAGCATGACAGATGTTCCTACAGAAAAGCCAGAATGACTGCTAGAAACCCGACAACAGCATGGCACTCGTGGCAATTGGCAGAAAGTGTTGCTAACATAGCCAATCACACCAAAAACAGCCAATAGGCAATGACAAACCTGGGCATGGCAACCATACCGCTGTCTGGCAGCCACGTAGTTGCCGCTCATGTATGAACGCAAACCCAGTTGCAGAAAGAATGTGGCTGAACACCTCTGCAGGCCTGTGGGGTCATCGACCTGTAGTGAATAGCAATTTCTAACTGGTCAGGGGCATGACAAATGCTCTGCAATACTTCAGTTCAGTTCAGTCCTATGGCTCAGTTCAGTTAACAAGAGTTGATACAACAAAACTTGCTGACTCCTGCAGTGTAGGCTCACGATGGAAACAGCCAGCATTTGATGCCATTCATAAGTTATGCTGCAAAGTATCACATTATCAAAGAAAGGCTCTGTCATTCAGTTGGAAGTGCCCAAGCAATACTACCATGGTGCTGATCTTGGGCAAAGCATCAGCAAGGCAGGGGCTGTGCAAACGAAGATCGAACTGGCCAATACATCTGCAGTTCTGCCATGTTGGCAGGGGATGAGAGCCATGATTTTCCCATTCAGAGAAAACTTCGGATTTGCACCAGCACAGGATGACAGGTGCGACTGAATTGGCTTGTGCTGGCACACCTTCAACCCCCTGTGCTTGTCCACAGGCTCCCCAGACTCCAACTCCCAGATGGTGTGATTGACACAATGAGCGTCTATGTACTTGTCCACGAGCCCTGCTCACAACAGGCAGATCACCAATCACCCCACGCATTCAGTCGCTTCCCTTCCGGCAGCAAGCGGGGAAGGGCAGCACTTCCCTCCCCATCATCCCTGGGGCGGACAAGGCAGTCCAGCATCCGCCCAACAGCAGGCAGCTGTGCGACTTCTCGCCCCCGGCCGTCCAAAATCGCAAGCCCCCACTGCCACACCGCCAAAGCACCCATCAAGCACCCGCTGTGCGCCCACAAACCACCTACTGTGTACCCACAAAGCACCCACAAAGCACGCACAAAGTACGCACAAAGCAGGTAGGGTGTGGGGGAGGGGGAGGGCACCTTGCATCTCCGCGTCATCCTCGATCCCCTGAACGTCCGCCCCGCAGGTGGGGCAGTCCCGGCACCGCGAGGCGCAAAACCGGCAGTACCGGTGGCCGCAGACCGCCAGCCGCACGCACTCGTGGAACAGGCACTTGCACAGCGGGCAGTGCAGGCTGGAGAACTTGGGTCCCTGGCTGGTGCCAAAGCCCAGGGGGCACACACCCCCTGACGTAGACACGCCATCGCCGCCTCGCGCCCCTTTGTCGGCATCGCCCTCATCCCCGGCCTTTGGCCCGCCACGGCACGAAATCTCGCCGCCGTTTAGCGTTCCCCGCGCGGGGCATTGGCGAGCGCCGTCCTCCTCGGGCGGGGGCCTACCGGTGATGGTGATCGACCCCTGGGGGCGGAAGGGGCAGCTCATGGGCGCCTGGGAGGGGGGCTGAGCGTCGCGCGCGGGGGGGTGGGGGTGGTTCTGGAGCCGGCTTCTGCGGACCGGGGTTGGTGCGGAGGGCGCAAGGCGGACGCTGCTCACACTCTGGTGTTCATGAGTGAGCACACGTCAGCAGGAGGGGAATCATCACCCAATCCATTTGCATTGACTCGTGCGGTTTCGACGGGAGCTTTGGGGTTCACACGAGCCTATTGTGAATTCTCGAGTCATCGGCCTGGGCCTGTGGGGGTCCGAGCATGACTGCACAAAGCGTTCTAGTAGTTAGGCTTGGAGTTTCGGGCGCAGTGATTGCACCTGTTCAAGAGATTAGGACGGTCGATGAGATGCTTGTAAGGCTAGTTTGATGCCGTCATCCAATTGGTTGAAGCACTGCTTTTTCCGGAATTTAGGGTTTTCTGTTGCTTTAGGAGATGTCTCTCGCGATCAGTGTGCCCTTGTGCTCAGGCAATGGGCATTGTTGCAGCTTCGGACTGGATTTAGGACAGCGTCACCATCATGAGACCGTCCAAACCCATGATGACAGAGTATCTGAGATTTTGCACTGCACTTCCTGCAAGAACTAACGCCTGTTTCAAGAAACAGCTCGTTTCTCATTTCGAACTTTTGTACTGGTTGTATAATTTGATCACAATGCCAATTGAATCACGCAATTGTCATGGACACCAATAGCTACCCGACAGTGCTTGGCCAACACATCCACCACAGTGGTGGTCATCCAGCACCGTAAACATGTTTTGGTCCATTGTGAGACAGGAACATAGGAACACTGCACCAGTCAGCACAAGTCAAGAACAAGTGACCATCAACGACGTCTCTACGCAAACAAAGAGGCAAATAATTGTGTGCCACGTTGATCTGCACTATTCACTGTCAATGCATCCTTCAAGCTTGCCATTATTAAAGCCTGGCAACGCCTGCCACCATCAGGTGCGCCTGAAGTTCGGCACATGCCACCCCACCTGGCATCCCAAGTTGCAAAAGAACGGCCAGCCATCATGCACACAGAATTGTTTCGAGCGTATTTAAATCCCTGGCAGTATCCACATCTCCTGCGCTTCCTTCCTTTGCTCCTTGTTCATGCAACATGGGCAAGGTCCCCAACCTGATGGTCGATCAACAGCATCACGGAAGACTAATGCCATGTTCCCTCCCTCAGAACAGCTCGAACACTGCCAGTAGGCCAACAGGTAACCACAGTCCTGGGCTCGGCGTACCCCTTCAATAAGTGTGTCCGCCTTGAATATGCACGGCACGCAAATAATGAACAGAGCACGCATGCTTATACAGGCAAATGCACCATGCCCACTATGGTGAAGAGCATAAAATCAGCAGAACCCCATCAACATATTCCATGCACCCTCTGGTACACTCAAGAGTTCTGCAGCCTGGATTGCCATGAAATAAAACCGCTAAGCTCTGCCATGGCAGATCCGTTCTCCAAGCCAAGAACATGCCCGCCAAAGGTATTTGCCACCATATTTGTCTCAAATGATGGTCGTTACGTCGTCACAGAGAATAATCCCTCGCTCCAAAAATAGCCGACCCAACCCGCACATTGGTGCTCCCCATTTCGATCTGTGCACAATAACAGCCTGAATTGCGCATCTTGTCTACATTGCAAAGCACAACACATATCCCATGGTGGCTGATTAATGACTGTCCAACAAGCAATAGGTGGGCTGGTTAAATCAGAGAACAATGGGTGCAAAGCGCGTGTAGCACTGGCAGGTGTTCAGACTTGTTTAAACAAACAACACTGTAGGCTGCAGAGATTCAGTCCAGTCCGCATTGATTAGAAACCCAGCCCACACTTAAGGGAGAGAATCTCTAGTTCACATGGAGGAGAACCAAATCTACAGGGTGGAAGTCCACCCATGTTCACAGTCGAAGACCACCATTTGATCACATTAATATTTGGCAATAGATGGAAGGAAGCAACTTAGACCCTGAACAATAACTTCTACAACACCAAAACCAGTCCAGCAGGGATAGTGTTTCACTCAGTTTCGACTGTGCTTCCCTCAGTTGGCCTGGGTTGTCTCCAATCTGCACCAAGTCGAACTCTTTTCCAACAATGTGTCTTGTGTTTTCCTGACTTTGATTTCCCAACAGATTGCACTAAAAATACAACTGGAAACCAACAGCACTCAGGCACACTTTGATACTCACAGCTTGCTCATAGTCTCCAGACATCCCCATGCTCAGATCCAGGTCATCAACAGGTATATCAAGGTCTCTGCACACAGCTTCGCGGCACTTCAGCAGACACAAAAAGTTTTCTGGGTGGGATGTGTAGTCTGGCATACCAATGGTCATCAGGCCTGCATGGCAGGCCAATGAAAATGCTCGTTCATCCCATCCACCTCAGGAGCACAGGGCATGCCCTTATCCATCTTTACTGCTTTGAGTCAGCAGGCACAGTGGCACTCGAAGGAAGCCATGTCACAAAAGCACATAGTGTCAAGCAACACCAACAATTGACTCATGGAACCAAGCAGTTCAGCATAACCTGCTGGACTGGTCAAGATTGTCATACACCTGCTGGATTTGCCCATTGTTCCCACATCAACGTGCCTCAGGATATCTTACCCATGATTCCATGCACTGGCAATACAATAGCCAGGTAAGAGGACACTGCAGACATGCACTTCGTTGTCAACCCTGCTGCTATGATTTGTGTGCACCAGATAACCACGCATAGCAGAACTGAAGACAGAACGAAAAAAATTGGGGGATGCAAATACTTGAACAAACGCAATGTCAATGGCCATGCACAGCAAATTGTGGAAGTGCATTAGCCAATCGCCTTGTGAATGGCACTAGCAACCTACTATTTCACAGCCATTGCCATAATTTGTTTCAACTGCGTTGGCTGACACAGTCAACTACTGGTTGAAATCAATGCCACCACCACAGGCCCACGAAAGGTAGCATCTGGCTGTGGCCGAATCTATTCCATCACCTTCCAAATTGAGACATACCTTTTAACTCGAGGTATTGACACTGTGTGTGCACATGCCTTGCCAAGGACACCACGTCCTCTGGACTCAGGCCACTCTTCGATTCTTCGCCGCTGGTGTTGACCTGGACCATGATGTTTAGTGGTGGCCGAGCAAGGGACAGGATGGCCTTGTTAAGTTTGTTTGCCAGCTTCTCGCTGTCCACAGTTTCAATCATCTTCAAGTTGGGAACTCCCTCTGCACTTCATTCCAAGGTGTTGCTCTCATATTCATGAAAATCGCATTCATTCCTGCCAACAACCCTCTGAGTGTGGTTGTGATAAGACAGACCAGCACTTTTGCACACCAGGATTTCCACCCCAGGCAGTAGGTGGAAGAACATGAATCTATGTTCTTTGGCGCAGCACCGGATGCTGACTCACCTAAGAGCTTGTTGACCTTATTCGACTGCAGATGTCCAATGAAATGCCATTCTATGTCCTCTGGCAGTTGGGGGGCCTTCTCAATGAGTTCCTGTTGGGTACAGCACTCAGTCCTGTGGAAAGAGACGGGGGATAAAGGACAAAGCTCTGTTCCATGAAGCAACCATTTGAGCAGTTGATGGCCACTTCAAGATGCACAGCACACACCCTTGCAATGCCAGGATATGGGACGAGCAACGATGCACGCTACCTGAACATAATTTTCACCGAAGTGCCTCATTCCTGCCTCATAGGCTGCCGCTATGCGCTCTGCAGGCTGGGTTTTGCTGACAGCGACGACCCTCGGCTGCCAAAACACACAGCCTGCTTCAAGAATGCTGCAACAAACGGTTTTGCGCGAGGGAACGATCGAATGGCTGTGACCACAGCTATGTATAGGCGCACTTGGCTTGAGTGTATTGGCAAACATGATTATCGTGGTGGCCTTCGTCAGAATACGCCTCCTGTTCGTAGGAATCCGGTTCAGCTCTCGCAACGTTGAAACAAACGCACTCCAGCTCTCTCCCTTTTCAGACCCCCTTACTGGCAGTCTGTTGGCCTTGTCGGCGACCGCCTTGATTTTTGCCACGACGGAGCCCATTGTGCGGGCCACGCTGTCTGCGGCGGGCATCATGGAAGACATCGCGCTGCCCGCAGGTCACAAGGACGTTCGGGGCGGCCTTTTCTCCTGGCGTCGTGCCCACCAAGTGAACTGACGCCCACTGTCGGTGATTCTGTGGCACTCAGCCGTGCAGGGCCTTGTTTGGTTGAACAAACAACCAATGCACCATATGGTTTTTGGTGGCACGGATCAACAACAATTTGGCAATGTTGGCAGCTACAACCGTGACAATAAATGTGGCTTGATGCGCATGGGGGTCCGGCGTTTTGTCCCGGAAAGAATGCCCTCCCTTCCCTGGACAGCACCGGAGGTTCCTGTGTCCACCGGGAAGCAACCAGGTGATGTCTCACAATAGGTTTCTACCGCTTCATTCCAGCAAGCGTCGGAATTCGGGCCACCAATGCGCACCAAGCAGCAGCGGCTGCACTCACGGCGCTGTGATTTTCTGGTCAACCCATGATATCGGAATCCCGCTTCAAGTTTCTAAAGGATGTTGATGTCAATTCTCACACAACTTTTACTGCAGCATTCGACTGCTGCCCAAGCATTGCTGGAAAATTGTTCCCTGCTCCCGTAGCTTTCGAGAAGACAGACGTTCTGTGTGATTGCAACAGTTTCCGGGCGATTCCACACACCCGGCCGTTCCAACAACTTATTATAGCGGTTGAAACGAACAAAAAAAGAGAAAATATTTGAATAAGAGAAGTTTGAGGGCTTTACATCGCCTTGCACCCTCTTGCAGGTTGGCACAAGGCCAGCACATCTTGCTGTAGGACGGTGGAGGCACCTGGACCCCGAAATGCGATGTAACACTTTGGAATCTGGAAAAAAATAACAAATAAGTAAACTGCAAAAACTGCAGCCATTCGCATTTTGCATGTGAATACTCTGCAAAGAACAAGCAAGAATTGCTGCTGGAGCTGTGCCGAACGTTCCCCTCCGCTGCCACATCACCATATCGCACCACACCCCACAAAGCCGAGCCCTGCCACTTTCGCTCCGCGCAACCTCCGTGCGGGCGACCCACCACACCGGCGCACCAGACCCCCATCCTCCGTGCTGCTCCTCCGCCATGAACCTTCAAGGCCAGGACTGGGACACCGTGGTGATCCGCAAGAAGACACCAAAGGGGTCCGAGGCCAAGTCGTCGGCCGCTGTCAACCAGGTGCGCAGCGTGGCAGCGGTCCTTCTGCCCGCCGGAATTTGGGGTGGGACGACTGGCCGATTTCTCAAGCTCTGTCTGTGCGCAGGCACGCCGCGCGGGAGGTCCAGTCGAGGCGATCAAGAAATGTAAGCACCATCGCACGCTGATAACCTGGTGTTCGGCGCGGCCTCTGCCCAGGGAGGTGCTTGGCGCTCCCCTGTGCCGTCTGCTGACGGCACCCTCAGGCGGATGGTGTCCGACCACCAAGGGATCCATGTGCCAATCCTGTCTTCCCCATCCCCGAAGGGAAACATGGTGCCTTTGTTTCTGGATTTGGTGTCAAGCAGGAGTGTACTGTCCAAGGCATTGCCGGCAGTGGGAGCGTTGGTGAATCGTCTTTGCCTTGTGGTTGCAGACAACGCCGGGACAAACAGAACAACCAAGGCTGGGGCGGGCAAGGATTCTCGCAAGCTCGACGAAGAGTCAGAGGAACTGCATCGTAGGTGGTTTGGTTCTTCGGTAATGTTGCTGCTTGGGTGACAGAAGAGATGTTTCTTTTTGCTTCATTTCTTTATGTTTCGATGCGATTGTGATTTCGCTCTGGTGCTGGTCTGTTTGCGCAGATGACCGTGTGAATATGGAACTGAAGAAAAAGATTCAGCAAGCACGGATGGCGAAGAAAATGACCCAGGCCCAACTGGGGCAGGTAAAGGGACAACCTGATGGATTGTGACGCATTATGAAGGCCCTGTTGTCAGAAAATCTATACCAGAGGTTGGGTTAGTGTTGTTGTGAGCAGTACCCAATGCAGGAAGCCGTGCTGTCGCACATTCAAAAGCTGCTGTGATTTGATGTTCCATACTGATAGGAGATTTTGCACTGTTGTGCTGTGATAAGAGCATAATGGAGGATCAGAAGGGATCCTGTCTTTTCAAGTCTTGTCTTTTGGGGTGACATGTGCTGGATATGTGTTGGCCCAGGCTATCAATGAAAAGCCAAATATCATCCAGGAGTACGAGAGCGGAAGAGCTATCCCCAATCCACAGGTCTTGTCGAAACTCTCCCGTATCTTGGGAGTACCGCTCAGCAACAAAGCAAGACCATCCAAGAAGCCAACCAAGTAGCCTAAAGAGGCATGGGAGAGGTGTGGGGTGCAACATGGGGATCCTAAGGTGCATTTGTACAGTAATGGCCTGCTGGCATGTGCACTGTCAGATGGGGTGCTCGCCTGGAGGGCTTGGGGTTTGTTTGGTTCACCCCTGGAATAGATATTTATGCTGCAATGGACAACTGGCAGGAGAGATATGCCGCTGGTCTTGTGCCACTTAGCTTTTTTTGTGGAAACACATGGAGGGTGCTGGCATGGAGCCACTGTTCATCAGACAGTTTCGAGGCAAGCATGTGTGTGCTGCAAACCATGCAGAGCAGAGTTGGTGTTCTTCGTGACCAGTGATATGTGGCAGGCCAGTCCTAATCGAAGCTGTGCATGCTCGCTGTTTGTTTTTTGTTGATCCACATCGACTGATTTAGAGCAAGATCAAGTGGTTGGAGAACATGCTCTGGGGCAAACAGTCACAAAAGATTAAATGTGGGCATCTGATCAATATGGCACCAGTTTATGTTGCCTTGCCTGATCAGTGCCCAAGAGGTAACTAACTGGATTCTCGTACATTACTTCAACTCTATCACAAACAGATGTGCTGGGCCAGCTCCCCAAATTTGGTGTGGGCTTGGAGGGCAGGCAAGCTCCCAGCTGCTCTGTGGAGCAGGAGTGCCACAACACAACGCTAAGGTGTTGGCAAGCGACTGGACACGGCCATGCCAAAGGATACTGAGTGAGGTTGGCTGGTCGCAAGGGATCAAGTGTACTGTGCTGCAGGACTGCTTGTGGAAAGTTGCTTGGTCGTTGGCTGGTTGAACTAGCATCAGAGTGGAAGACTGGTGGACAGCATGCTGTGATACTGAGCTGGGTGTATTGTAACATTGTACGGGCAGAGTGCGGGCAACTGCCTTTAGCGACTCATTGCATGCCATGATCATTACTCGCCGTTGAGCCCAGCGCAAAGGGGGCGTGTTTCGGTATATGTGTCAGCGCGGTGCTCTCCACATGATCTGATGTGTCGTGCTGTTGTCAGCAGTCCTCTTGGCAATTCAGTCCATTGCAGCCAGTCCTCTCGACAGCAGTCGTTGGACGCGTAGCTGCGAGGAATTTGGCCATTTGCTGCGTCGACTTGACGCCTGCTTGAGGAGCTGGTGAATGTTTCAAAGGCTGCTCCTTGCGACCAGGCCGTCAACGCAAACAGCTTCTAATAGCACAGACCGGAAATCGCAGGCACTGCAGTGATTCTGCAAGCACGCTGGGCAGTGGTGCTGCGCATATTTTACTGCAACAGACGGAACTCCACGCACCTTGCTGTGTCCTGCCCATACATGTGTCTGGAAGAGTGCGGATAACGCCGCCCTCACGCAAGCCCTGTGTGCATTCTCAGAATGTCTGCTGGTCAAGTACAGGAATTTGATGTGCTCACATTGCTAGCAAGGGTGCCAAGGCAGACGATTCCTTCCTAGTTTGCGGGCTTGGGATGTGGAAGCACTTGGCCTACACAGAAGTTCCTTATTGCATAACCGGCCCAGACAATCACAAGGACATCCATATCGCTACTGACAGTCCCCACGGCCCATGAAATCAATACCCGACGTTCATGCCGCATGGCTCACGCGACTCTGTTAACTCTCGCAGTCTTCTGAAGAAAGGGCCTGGTCCGTGTCCAGTTGCCACCCCACAGGGTAGCCACGTGGACACTGGGTGTGCTACAGAGCCGGCATTGTCTAAATCGACACGTGCCACCAGCACTCGGTGAATCCAAAATTGCCAGCGCCGCCCAGCAGCCTGAACAGCAACAGTTCTTTGCACAGCTGAACAGGGCCTTTCATACACCGCTCGTTTCCGGCCACCAATTTCGTTTCCGGACAGCACGCCGCCCTCCAACCCGGCCACGCTTCAAGTGCCAATTAGCAGCGCGACTAGGATACAGGCATGCACAACGGCCAACAACAGGCGTGGGGCATCTCGGACACTTGCATTGCCTGGCGACGCAGATCCTGTGCCACGCCAATCCGAGCTGGTCAGACACCGGTCGATTTCATTGCCTGCCTCCTCCACGGGGCACGAGCGGCGCGTGCCACTCACCAGACACGGGGATGGCAATGCTCTGCAATGCGCCCAAGCGGTTTTCCCTTAGGCAAGATGCATTGGTCACAGGGGTAGCGCCTGGTCCCCGCGTGCCGTTGATGCAGTCCTGGGTGGGTGCCGTGCACACTCATGCCATGCAATCAGCCCTCTTCGCTCCCACTGTTGCCGTCCTCACCTGAGGGGCCCATTTTCCGCATTCCTGCATCCTGCTCCTCTCCGCCACCAGCCCCAGACTCGTTTGTCGGCTGCCCCTTCGGGACAAAATCGATGACCTCGCATACCTGGGACGCCGTTATGGGATTGAATACAGCCACGGCGCCGTTTTCGAATTGGGCTGTGTATGAGGAAGGAAATATTTGTGGCAGCTTTCCGCCAGGAAAGTCTGTTGACACCAGATGGGCTCCAGCCGCCACGATCTCATCCCTCCTGTAAGTGTAGTTTTTGCGAGGTTCCTGAGTCGCTGAGTCGGCAAATGCTCGAACGATGTACCCTCTGGAGGTGACATCTCGAACCTTGGATGTCAATTCATCCACCTGCGTAATTTCACGTCTGCACAGATATTAATAATTATGCAAAATGTTATTCAATGTGCATACATATGCATGAAAACCACAAAAATATTCTCTTTGTTCCATTCACTGGTAATTGCCCACTAAGCAGGCTCCGTCAATTGCTGATTCGTAATCCGGTGATTGAAATTAAATGATTGCACCTGATTATTTCATTTCAGGGATGCCATCAACATTACGATTGAATGGCTATCACTGTTTCTTAATGTTTCACACGCAACTTTCCAGTTCACGTGAATGGAGGTCGGTGGCTGAACACCGATGTGCAGTGAAATTCAATGATAAAATTGAATACAGAAATGGGAGCCAGATCAAAGAGATGAAAATCTGACACACCAAGACAGCCGCAGCTGCCATGTTGTGCAAGCAGCTGCTCATGTTCGGACTGACTGGTGCACTCATCGACCTGATTGGGATAGCGAGAGGACGGCTGGCCAACAATCAGCTTCGGTTTTACTAATGTTGGTGATCGTGCATTGGTGATGTCGGTCGGAACTGTTGGTGTGTGCCGCGGGGTAGCGTGTTGTGCGTGTGTGAAGTGTGAGTTCAGTCTGCCGTCCCAAGTGTCAGTTCTGGTGGGCGAAAACAAGAGGCGTACTCTGACACTTAAAGAGAGCCCGAGACTTGTTCGTGGCTTCTCTTGGTTTGGTTGTAAGACGAGTTGAGTCTTGGCTGCTTGTGCGACCAGGCACGGCGAGTGCGTTTGAGCACCGCGTGCACCAGGGTAGCCACGTTGTGGCCCATCGCCGCGTGCATTCGATTGAACCGGGATGGCCAAGGAAGTTTGACATCTTCTAAAAGGGGCCACTCTGTGGTGCGTTTTTGGGCGCAATTTCGATCACGAGCCAATATTATGAGCCACAGCTTTTCGACAGAGCAAACCTCATGCACCCTTGTCACCTTGCAAAGCACCAGTGCTCGCCATGCTGCACCTGCACTGTTACCTTTTCTTTGCCTTACAGCAATCTTCAATGATACGATGCTATCTCCTTACCTGGCCGTCCCATGAGCTCCTTGGGCTCTGCAGAGCAGCATCCAAGGTACCAACGTTCACGAACACTGTATGGCTGGGATCAATTGTGTCTTCCGTTGCAGTGGGGAACATCAAGGACCCAACCAAGTTCGGGTGAAGGTCAAGCAGGTCGTCCAGAAAAGGTTCTGAAGCCGTCAGCACGATTCGGCCTCGCAGCGCCACCAGTTCGGGCCACCTGCATTTCATCCAGTGATGGTCCCTTGTCAGCAATTGCACTCTAACACAAATAGCCCTGACTGGGTTGTGTGCCACAACGAATAGTGTTCATGTGTGGGCCGTACCTTTTGATAGAGCGGCACATTCATAAGCGTGCCTGCAGCACCGAAATTGCACTTGCCAGGCAGATTCTGACAGAGGCCGAATCCACAGCACATCTTCCAGTTGCAGTTCTTAAGGATGTGTTGGTGTTGGTGTTGTGGGAGGGGGTCCGGGGGGTCAACAGGACCATGGACCACGGCGCACCCGTTGTTCTCCAGCACAGCCTCTGCCAGTGTTGATTCATTGCCTCTCAATTCATCGGGCGTGATGAGGTGGGTCAAATTAAAGACATCCAGCACCTCCTGCTCCAGGGTCCTGAATGCGGAAGCGTCAACTGGGAGAGAAGTCGCCAGACTCATGGGCTCCCCCTGCAATGGGTAAGGCAACCAGGTTTAAACATGCATTTCATGCACTCCAAAAGCGTTGCCAATCCCCTGTGCATCTGGATCGAGTAGAGCTGTTGGTGGGGTTGTTCGTGCAGAACCAAGGCAAGGAGGCAAGCTGTTGAGCACACAAATTTGCGGTTGAACACATACATTCGCAAGGGTGCCATCGTCTAAACGACCCGATCGTATCATATTGAGCCTCAATCCAGACCTCCAGTGGTTGGAACAGTCAAAACGCACACACATTGCATAAAGCGCATGGAAACACTCCCAGATCATGTGCTTGTTGCGTTCATGCATGTCTGCTGCTCCTCCCACTACTATGGATGGTTGCACATGCAGTGCTGCAAACGGAGACGGGCTCAAAATTTTGTTCAGGACAGAGGTTTTCGATGTCTTGCGCTTCAGCACTCAGAAAGACACATACACGTACACCTGGGCACCTCTTCATTCGCTCGGCAAGGGGGACTTCTGACAATCATTTATGTGCAATTGGCTTTCTGAACTCTTCGGACAAGCGGGTGTTGTGTTTGCTGAGAACCACGCCACATTGGCATAGTCGCCCTGGCAATCAGAAGGACCTGGATGTGCTCAAGTTCATGGTTTGCAACAATTCAACACACATGTGCACAATGGGGAACATGCACCCAACCAGTAACAATCACCGTATGCAGCCAATTCCCCCCCTTTAAAAAGACGTACTCACGCTGGAGGCTGACAGCAGTGTATTCAGCAGGCCCACAGTGCTCTCCCCAAGAAAATCTGCACCATCAAAAGACTGCACAACACAACCGTGAGAGCAGAACCTGTGGAAAGCAAGGCGGCCACTGCGAACGGTGGTACACCAGACAATAAATTCACCACATTATATTATGACAAGCGCACAGTGCAGCTGGGAGCACACAACAGCACAGCTGAGCACCGAATCTGAGAAACTCTGTTGTGAACATTGGAAATCGATACTTTGAATGAAGCTGTGATACTAGCATGATGACAGATAGGAAGTGTCTATTGCCACAATTATTAACAGACTACAAAAGAGCGCCAACCATCCTAAAGCTTACCATTGGCTCAATGTGGACAAATACAGGCAAATGTGCTGGATTTTGTGTTGACCAATCCCTGATTTCCTGGAGGCACGATCTGAATGTGAGGCATGTGGTTTCAAAATCCAGATCAGGGATATGTAGTACCTTCCACCTGCAAAGAAATATGACAGCTGGCTTGGTGTCCACATGTGAAGCAGAAAACTCAGGTACTGGGCAAGATCTCCAGGACAATACATCTCGAGGATGAAAGATGTCAAATGCACGCAAAGCCATACATCCAATTCTCTCTTGTTGGTTGTCTGAAGGACTTGGTAAAGCACTGCCCTTCCACCCATCAGGCAGTATTGGTCCCATTGACATCAACAGCAAGACATCCAAGATTTTTACCAACAGAAAAAACTTGGCAGCTGCCAGAATCAGAGAAAAGAAAACTGAATGCAGGGACAACTGTCAACCTGTGTGTCGATTGTGCCATCAGCAAGGTCTTCCAAAACCCGCTTGAGGCCATGTATCACAACCTCAAAAGAGAATCTCATCCATCCTAGGAATTCTGGTCATGTTGAGCAGATCCACATAGGTCCATTCTGTGTGCCAAGCCATGCAAGCACCGGCAGAACTCTGTGTGCACATGCATAGACAAGTTAATTACCCAGGTTCATCCAGGTCCGGCTCCCCCGATTCTCCATCCACACCTGCCAATTTGGGTCCTGCTCGATTTGCAAACATCCCTGCCAAACCACAGTATAAACCGAATGAAGTGCAGATCCAAGTGTCCAGCTCCTGATTCGTAAAGCCACATGCAAACAGTCCAGGATCGACAAGTGCATGAACCTGCACTTTTAGCCTTGCCACTCCAGATCAACATCATTGCGAAGTCTTGGCCTTAAATTCTTGCAAGGATGACAGCCAGTGATCATGACTCCTGGACTCTATGATCAACTCCTGCAGCCTAGACCATGGCGGGCAGCCCAATCATACACACAGGCAGAGCAAAGTCTCCCATGTGACTTGCACCTACCCCCATCGGGATCGTAGAACACATCCAGCTCAAATGCCCGGACGCCATACTCAGAGAGAAGATCTGACAGCCGAGGATGCGAGTATTCCAGTGGCTCTGGGAATCCAGTGGACAGGCCAGCCTGGACGTGGGAATGGTGGCGATTGGCATACAAATGAATGAGCACAGGTAGTTGGAATGAAATGCACTTGCTCAACACATGGAATGTCCAGCACAAGCAGAGAATCAGTTAAGCGTATTTACTGCAAAAATTGAACATTGTCTGCACAACATTGTTGCAAGTGTCTGAGGAATTCAAACCAGCAGAGAGCAACAGTTCTTCTGGCGGCCAAGGACCTCACAATGCTTGGAACACGCCCACAAACGCCAGAAACAGGATGCCGTGCGTCGCCCAGGCCTGGCTCACCGCTGCACTCTGCACAAGGGGGCTGCACACACACGCCAAAATGTCACACCTTGTATTTTGTGGTTGGGTCCACTTGCAGGTGATTGGATCGAACTCGGCCACTGTATCTGCTTTTCCCATGTGCGAGAATCCCCACGAATTGCACTTCACATCAAGTCGGACGTGGCCACGGCACAGAGTCGTTTGCATCGCTTCTCTCGCGCCCTTCGGCCAACAGAGACAAAAATGCATGCACATGGCCCCCATCGGCCGCCGGAGACACAGGCGTGTGCGCCATGTGTTCCTCGCCGTGTTTCTGGGCGCGTCCGCACCTGCGAAAGAACTGTAGCAGCGCATCCTCTGGCGCCAAGTGGAAGCTGTTGTGCGCATGTATCACCTGCATGAAGACGTCGACGCGCGCTGAGGTCTCGCACTAAAGAGCTGGCTGCCGCAACAGCAAAGAGCACCGGACTGTGCGCCAAAGGCCCAAACTGAACGCCGGTCCTGGGGGCCATGCGCAATACCTGAATTTCGTTCAACCTTGGCTGCTGGCCAAACGAGTAGTGGAGGATCATGCACAGCAAGAGGTGGCGAAGCGCGCGGGACGTCGGCGGACGTCGGCGGGCAACCGACTTCATTGCCATGCGGTGGCTGGCAATGGAGCAGGGAACGGCAGCGAGGAAGCCAAGTTCTGCTGGCGAACAGTGTTGTATGCTGCCTGTTCAAGCGGCAGTTGCGATCCTGCAGACTGGTGGTACTGCGAGTGTGGGGATCCGATCACCTGGAGAATGTACGTCATTTTGCTCTAATTTTGTGTAGATGCTCAAATTTTCACGCGTCCTTGTGCTCTGAACTCCGGCACGAGAATAGCCACATTCTGACATACCCAGAAATACTCGATAAAGTAGGACCAGCGAATTTGGTGTTCAGGATGTTTTGATTTCTTCAAGGAGGCAGCTGATGTTGGACTAGTGGCATGTGGGATTGGACAATGTGATCGAAGCCTCCACACAAGCCTGCTGATGTGCACCTCCATGCTCACCCAATTGCTCCTTGCATAAAAAGCACAGACGCGTAGTTGAAGCTGCTTGTCCTCTAGGTTGCTGACTTGCTGAGCCGCTTGCATCAGATTCCCTGGCGCCTGCGCCCAGGCAGCTCCCCATCCCACATTTGACAGGCGGTTCATGATCTGAATGCCTAGAGCACACCCCCATGCGACATTACCCAAAGCACACAACATTGTTGAGCACCCGTGGCTGGAAACCTGGGTCCAGCCTGATCGGCGCTGACCCAACTGATTACCCACCTTGCCGTGATCATTCGTGCGCCCAACATACGTGTGTGTACAACACACTGATGATTTCACAACAGCTTGGTGTTGGCTCGGCAGGCGACACCCACCTTTTGCGCGGGGAGTGCCGTGGGACGACTGGTGGTGGGCGCTGGTTGTTGATTTCTGGGCGTTCTAGCAGGCACAGTGGCCAACGAGGGCAGTGGACCTGTTTCTACCTTGCTGGCGCAACTTGCGCCAAGGACAAAGGTGCGCATGCGTGCTGATCGCAGCTGGTACCACCAGTGCCCACCACTTCCTGACGAGACCATCCGCCGAACGAGCGCAACACGGCCGTTCATGGGCGTGCGACTGCAGAACCGCTTGATCATTTCCTGCTGGCCCCCGGCGCACACCCGAGATCGGCATTTGTGCCCAATCTTTCTGCCCAATCTCTTGTGCCGAATCTCTTGCACCCAACTCTTTTGTGCCCAGTCTCTTGTGCCCAATCATTTGTACCCAACCATTTGTGCCCAAACATTTGTGCCCAACCATTTGTGCCCAACCGCTTACGCCCAACCATTTGTGCCCAGGGATGGCGAGCGCCGCGGAATGCCACGCTGGCGACCGGACGTACCTCACCGCTGCACCGCGATGTGGGCCAAGGAGCCAGAGAGGCCATCGGCAGGCTGCTTCCCACAGCCCGTGGGCGAGCACCCAGGCAGAAGAGCGAGCAAAACAGCGGCCGGCCACACGGAGCCGGCTGCCCTGCCCGTGGGGTGGATCGCGTTCCGGTTGCCACACTAATGCCTTCGATTTGGCGCACCGTGCCATCATCATCACTAAGAATTCTTGCACATCGAGGCGGAGAGGCGGCCCTCAACTGCGGCAGCCTAGGGGTTACTATCGGGCGCACCGCGTGTCTGACTGCCCGAAGACTGCCCCCGTGACTCTCAGCGCAGAGTCACGTCATCGTATCCGCGCACATTCTGGGACTGTGTGGATTAGGCAGACGCGCCCCCTGATTGGTCACCACCGAGGGGCCAGGAACGCCTAAAAGCACCGCCCAGCTGGAGGCACGTAGCCCACCGGTGGCCTCCCAAGACGTGGGCGGCGCCCGTGGGATGCTGAACAGGTGGCCTGCCGTGCCGCGAGGGATATTCTCGAGTGGGGCCCTGCCGCCGCCGCTGCGCGACCGCATTCGTGAAGCACGATTGCGGCGCGGCAGCGGCAGCCGCACGCAGCGCCCCGCCCAGCCTCCCTGCCCGGCCTGGCGCAGCGACGAGGTAGGCACCCGAGTCGGAAGCCGCAGATTGGGACATCGTCCGCGCCCGCGACAGAGGTAAAAGTCCATCGGCTCGGCGATCCCCTCTTTGCAAATGGCGCCCCCCGCGCCGAACAACGGCCCTGGATCAGGACCCGCGAGCTGCTTTCCCCGCGCCTCGGCTTGGTGCGACGTCGGGTGATTCATCGGACCGCGCGTCTCGCTGGGCGAATCGGATCGACGTATCGCGAGATGGGTGAAAGGGGTGAGAGAGGCGAAAAAGAAGTGAAACAAGTGGGTGAAAGGGGTGGGGGTTTTGTTGTGCGTGCCCAGCGACGTCCTTGCCATCGAGAGAGGAGCTCCAGCCGCTGGCCGCCGCCCGGAGGAGCCTGCTGGAGGACGACCCCACAGGCCGTCGCCGCCGACGTCGGGTGGGCAGCATGAAGGGCGCATCCGAGTTCTGGTCGGCCATGCGGCAGAGGTGGGCGGACTGGGCGCTTGTGGGGGTGATGGGGGTCCTGTTCGTGGGCATGGAGTACTCGGTGGAGCCGTACGTGCGGTACATCCCCCGGGTGGAGATCGAGGAGCTGAACTACCCGCTCAAGGACGATACCGTGCCGGCCTGGGTCATACCCGTGGGCGGGCTGCTGCTGCCGCTGGTGGCCTTCACGGTATACAGGGTGGCGTGGAAGTGCGAGGCGCGGGAGTACCATGATTTGGTCCTGGGGGCGCTGATGAACGTCATGCTGACGGCCTGCGTGACGAGCACGCTCAAGGAGATGGTGGGCAGGCCCAGGCCCGACTACTTCAGGAGGTGCGGGCTTGTGTGCCGCTTCTTGGGGTGACGGGATGTGCGCGGTGTGCGCAGTGCATTTGGCCTTGTGTGTGGTTAGTTGGGTTTGTGGGGCGCCGTGAAAGGCTTCATTGACAATTTGGCGGCCGCCTCGGTGATTGGGGTGCTTGCGGTGAATCTGCGCGTTTTCAGTGCCGGTTGCTTGGGGCGAAAGGAAGGAAGCGTTTGGCCTTGCGCGAGGTGTTTTGTGGCGTTTGGAAGGCGCCCCGGAAGACTGCGTTGCCAGTTTGGCTGCCGCGTCGGCGGTTGGGGACCATGCGGGCGATCAGCGTGCGCGCAGTGCCCGTTTCACAAAATGCACTCGCTGACGTCCGCAGGTGTTTCCCTGACGGTGTCATGGAATTCGGCGATAGTGGCTATCCCAAGTGTCACCCTGTCAGCGAATCCATTCTTCGGGAAGGGAGGAAGAGCTTTCCCAGTGGTGAGTGTGAACAGACAGTGCAAGGTCCCCGGCAGAACGGCCATCTGTGAGAATGTGTGGGCAAGTGTGACGGCCATCAACTGGATAGTCTGGAGGAAACGTAATACTCTGGGCAGGCGTTATCCTGAGTCATTGAAGGTTGCTGTGGCGTTGATTGTTGCAACCGGCTGGAAGGAGCAAGCTTTTGTGGGCTGGTCATTCCCACCAGCCAGATTGACCAGTGCCAAGCCCTAGCTTGGCAGCTGTGGTTGCCAACTGGGCTATTGTGGCCAGGGGAGTGTGTCGGGGTGGTTATGTATCCAGCAGTGCAGATGGCACAAACTGATTGTTTGTGGATATCTGGTGCATTGGTTTATTCTTCCCAAATGCTTGGATCAGGTCCCTGCCCCTGCCGCAGTGTCCTGCTGTCCGCACACTTACACAGGACACCCCCTTGCTGCATCATTGTGGCAGGGTACCCTTGCTAAATGGTTGCCTGTTACACGCAGGGCACTCCTCATGGAGCATGTGCACGCTGTCGTTCCTCTCTTTCTTCCTGATGGGCAAGCTCCAAGTGTTCAGCGGAATTCAGTCGTTCTGGAAGTATGTTGTGAGCTTGCTGCCATTCTTTGTTGCCATCGGGGTTGGTGTCACAAGAGTCAGCGACTACTGGCATCATTGGACGGATGTTGCTGCGGGTGCCTTGATTGGTTTGGCCATCTCGTTTTCTATTTATATTCAGCTTTACAGAACTCCCTGGGCGAGAGCAGATACACAAACTCCACTATATCAGCTGATGGCGCAGACCGGCAGACATAGTCTCAAGGACAACTCGATGATGCTGGTGCCTCGGTCCGCAGTGTCCATAGAAATAGGAGGGAAGGATGCCTCGCAGTGCGATGACAGTGAGTGCGGCTGCATTGGAGCTGAATTTGCATGCAAAGAATTGCCTGTCTCTTGTGAATATGACAGGTGCAAGTGTGTGGAAATTGTGAGAATTTTGATATGTGGTACCTTGAGTTGTTCTGAACACAAGAACCCACCAGGCGAAGTTCCTGCTGTCTGTATGTGGTGGTCTCCTGCCATGTTTGAAATGGATGTTTCTGTGCTGTCAGTCTGTTGGCAGGTGTTAATACAACTCTTGGCAGGTGTTTTCCGTGTCTTATCTGACATGTTGCACAACACACTCTCTACTGCAGGCCATCAGCCACTAGCGAATGTGCAGGCTCTCAATGTAAACTGTTTTCAATTGTTTTGTTCCAATCTACCTTTGGACCCTGTGGGCTGTACCTTTGGACTCAGTGTTCCCGCCGCCTGCAGCTGCTACGGGATGAGGATATTGGTTGAGGGAATGAATGTGGATTTAATGTGTTGTGGGCTTGCAATGCAGGACTGCCCTTGCTGGAACCATAGAGGGGTGCTTGTAGCTTCCAAGTACGGAGGGACTGCCTATCTTCACCGGGACTCACATTGATTGCCCACTTTCTGTTGGGCGAAGTTTCGGTCGCAAGGCAGTGGAATTAGCTCCAGCCCTGTTGCAGGCAACGTTCGTTTGCCCTGGCGCCTACCAACGGCTGCAGAAGCCAGCGCCCAGGCTGAGTGGCTCAAGGAAACACACATTGTTTTTGTGCGGTTGGTGATCTGCATTTGCATTCTTGGAGCAGCTGAATTCAGTGGCTGCACATTATTCTTTTGCAAGAGGATTTCGTTTTGTCGCTGGTTCATGGAGCAACGCGTTGCTACCACGAGCAGCAGAGAGTGCACGTAGGATAATTCATTTGCTGCTGCTTCCCAAATAGCCTGGACTGCAGCACCAATATGATGAAATGAAGTCTGGGAAAGGACGCAAGACAGGCCTGGCGTAGGGGGGGGATGGATTTCTTGGATGTCCTGACGTTTGGATGTCATGTTGTCATACGGCCAGTGCTTTTGTCAGCGTCTTTGCAAAGGCTTGCCAGAGGCTGCAGGTGAGAATGCATCACATGGCTGTGTGTTGCACCTCGTGTGGTGCACATTGGCCTGTACGGGGCTGCTATGCCATTGCCAACAGCTAGTCGAGCTGCCGCCTCGCATGTGTGGGTTGGTGTTTCAGTGATTCACTGAAACCATGAGGAATTGTTGACGAGTCTTTGGTTTTTCTACTTCTTGCTCTTGATAACCATGGTCGTGAGCTCTGCCCTCACAGATTCGGAACGTTTAAAAACATCAGGCAAGTTTCCCAGCCACATCTTTGTGATGCAAGTGTTTCGCAACATTGCTACCTCCAATCACAGGCTGTGGGACGGTGCTGTTCAACCATGTTGCGCACGTCATCCACTCTGCAAATCTGCTGGTGACTGGACTCAACAGATCTTAGTTGGGAAGTGCTGCAAATGAGACCGGTCAAGCGTTCCAAAGAATCCAATGCCGTTAAGGTCCAAATCGGATGTAAATTTCAAAAAGCAATGTGATACCGAGAACAAAGCATAGTCATTGTGGCAAAGGTGGCCGGCTGACATGAAAGCCATCTGGGCCCACGCAGAAATCCGGGCCTTAGATAAGAAACACGTGGGAAGCCACTTCGATTCTCACAGAATCGCTTGAAGACCCATGCACTCGGAACAGCGAAATTGCAATGGGCGCTCTGCCACAATTCGGGGCGGGAGACCTCTTGGCTGTGAAGTTGATTTGGTCGGGTTGCGTGCCACGGCCTGCGTCCACAGGTCGCACATGAGGAGAATACACGGACTATTCCGGGCTATTGTTCGCCCGTTCAGCCTCTCAGACACTAGGCACAACAGCGTGCAACCTGCGGCCCCAACACAGCACAACAGCCACTCCCCAAATACCGTAGCCACGTTTGAAAGGGCGGTACAAGCCAATCTTATACAATTTCGATCAGGTCACATCCAAACATGGCAGTTCACATCATTCTCACTCTCCTTGCGCCTCATACTCTTATTAAGACTGCCGTTAGTCATGAGCACCGGTACATCAAAGGCGGGCTCATGACCGACGCAGGGCAGCTGACTGGGCCACTATCAAACAAGCAGTCAGAGTGAAAATGAAAAAGAGGAGAAGGGAGCAAGGAAAGAACAGATATACGTTGCATAAAAGGAACAAGGGAGAGCGGTGATGTAAACAGTATATTAAGAAAATATCAGATGGTCTGTGTGCCTTTACGATTTATGGTGCCTAACATGCTGCTTGGGAGATGGTTGTAGGAGAAAGACCGAGAAAACAATGAGGCAAGCCACCATCCTTCAGTGGCTGCCCAGATCTGGACATGCTGAAGAGCATTGATAGTACCTGACTGGAGCTCGGCTGTTCATAAGCATGACCGCTCAAATCTTTCGAAAAGGCGATGCACTTTGTTTCATGAAGGGGCAGCACCAGAGGCATGGATTTGATGGATACGAATGTTTCCATTTTAAAGCAGATCCGAAGGTTTGCATTTGACCGCTTTTTGGATGTTGGACTTTGTGGCTGTAATCTACAGAAGAATCTGTCCAAGAAAGGATAACCAGCTGCGTGCGTGTATACCCGCCTTGAAACATTCAGCCCAGGGATGTCGACGGGACACATGGGCAAGAACTGGATGAGAAAAGCATGCATAAAAAAACCTGTCGTAAAATACAAGGAAGTGCATGAACCGAAATCAAGTTCACTAATATGCGAAGTGAACAGAATGGCTGAAGAGACAGCAACTGAGGTGTGGACAATGTCTGAAGATGGGAAGTAAAGAAACATAAGGCTGTGCTAATGGAGTTTATGCACAGTTCAGTTTGAAAATCGGCAGCTGGGCACTATTGAAAGTGAACGGACGTGATGAGAAACACGTCCTGGTGTAAGCTATTGAGTACAGTAGCCCTAATATGAGCCTGATATGACTGCTGAACATGAAGTCATACGACCCCACAACTCAAAGGTTTGCTGCTGTGATGTTTGCTGATAAGAAGAAAGAGAAATGGGTATTTTCAAAAGGAACACTGGCAGTTCATGGCAGGGATTAAAGGCTGAAGAAGACGGCTGGGAACATTGTGGCAATGAACAAAGGGATGTGAAAGAAGAAGGCTATACGGTGGTGAAGAGTTGGCTGAACATTACAGCATTTAGCGAAGAACTTGACAGCTGTGAAGATGACTCCAAGTAATGAACCAGGAACGCTGGAAGAATGCTCCAAGATAGCCTGGCAATTATGCGCCAGCCAGTGCAGTAAACTGAGTGGTAACTGCGATTGAGGCGACGCACGGAGCCAGCGTATGGTGCACGGGGCGAGCAGCTGCCGTTTGAGGCTCATTCTGATGATAAAGCATGACCCACAAGGCAGTACGGATGCTGCCAGACGGTCGGGCTGATTTGCAGCTTTGAGCCACCTGAAAGGAGCTTTAGAATGCAATTGTAACCCAATACCAGTCTGTCACAGCCCTCCCTGGCTTGACGGGACAAGGGTGAACTGTATGCATTAGCTTTTACTTGCATGTTAGTGATGTAGTTTGACTGACATCCATATTTGGATGTCGTACTGTGATGAAACGCGACCGACTTGCGTCGTGTTGACCTCCCAAGTACCCAAACTGACACTGTCAAGGGTACGGAGACAGCCCTGTATGTTGCCCAGTATGATTGGGCCTTTTTTGATGTGTCACATGCGCTGACGGCCAAGTCAACCGTACAGAGCCGCGGGAATGAACCTTGCAGCCGAGTTTCTCCTCAACTCAGAACCAAATAGGAGGCTCCCTGGTCATCTAAGAATCTTTCTGCTCAGACCAGACCACTCCCAGCAGACTCCCAGTGAACAGCTCAGACAGGACAGGAGGCAGAGGGTTGGATTGGATCAGGCTCAAACCCTCGGCTCTCAATAAGAGAAAGTCACGGCAAATGCAAACACGGAGGGCCTTGGCTGGGCGCAAGATGAGCAAAGGGCGGACGCGGAGGCCCCTAACGCGGATGACTACCTAGCGCTTAGGTACGCTAGCGTAGGCGGGAGAAGTGGCGCGGCATGTGCAAAAAGCATGGATGGAGAATGGACATTCGTACGAAGGCTGTAAAGTTCCGGAAACCAAAGGGAAGCTGCAGAGGCTTCTCATAATAAGGTGGCGTTCATAAAGATTGACTAAAAACGTTAGTAATCTGCGCTCTATACTTAGTAAAAAGTGATGTGAAAGGTGCTTGGGTTAATAGAGCTGTTTGGTGGTCGGTTGGCTCAACAGGATGATACTAGTGAGCCAGACCATGAAGTGTGACTGCGTTATAGTACTTTGTTTGTGCCTCAATGAGATCTAAAGGGCATAGGTGGAGATTCGGAGGAATCTAGGCAATGAGGGTGAAGTTGCACTCCTTTGGTGAGCCAGTTGACCCCTAGGTTGCAAACTAGAGGGATTCCATTTGAATAGGTTGATCTGAACGGTGAAAAAGAGAATATTCTAGGGAATCTTTAGAGAATATTCCTAGAAGGTGTGGCAGCCCCGCGGACTATAAATAGGGGAGCGGCGCCCCTTATTGTGGCCAGCCCAACTGACCAAGCGGTGGTCCCAAGGGACCAACCAAACATTCATTGTAATGATCTTTTAATTAGGTCAAAGATTGAGTGCAGTCACAACCCGTGGAGGGTTGATTTAGAGTGTGTGGGTGTGCGTATATTGAGTATGTGTAAGGCACAAAAAACTCCATTATATGAGTGCTTAAACACACTTGAGAACTATCCTATTGGGAACGCCTGCGGGGCCCTAGCACGTCAAAAATTTTACTATTTTTAGTGTGTCATGTTGGGAAAGCTTGCTTGCCCCCAAGCACACTTAAATAATTGTTGCACATTATGTAATGGACTAAAACGCTTACGGGGCCCCAGCAAAGCACCCTCAGGAGTACCTGGGGTGTTGAGTTATAGTTGTTTTCCTTTATAATCAATAATATACAATAGTGATGGGCACACACAGCCAAAGCCATACTTCCAAGAACCGTTGGAAAGTGCGTAAGGGGTGCTGCCCTCCTGGAAGACACTTCAGCCTCCCAAAAGGGAACATTAGCATTTGCTGGAGGCACCAAAGGTCCAGGTCAGAGTGCTGAGTCATTGTTGAAGTGTTGCAAGCAATCGTGGCTGTTTTGATGAGCCAATTGTTGTTGGATTCAATGCTGAGGTGACCAGAAGCTATACTTTACGCAACCTGCAATTACAACAAGTGTTGGACAAGCCTAGAATCACATTGTGAAGCTGGCAGAAGGGTAATCTACCTTTTGAAATTCTGTGTGGCTGGCTTTCGTATATTGGAAACTTGATAAGTCTATTTCTAATTGTATTGGTGATAGCGAGCGACGTTGAGTGGTCACCACAGTGACCAGTGTTGCACACACAATTGATTTGACATCAGAAAAGTTGATTACAATTTGCCGTTACATTCCCTTTGAGTTCCCCGGTGTCTATTCAATGAAGCTCTGAAACCAATGACAGTCATAGTGTGACGTGGCTGCATGGGGTTTAGGCTTATTTGACAT